CACTATGTGCACAACGTGGTGGGCGCCCTCAACCTGGCGCCCGCCATGTTTGGGCAGCGCGAGACCTACCTGGATGCAGTACGGCGTCGGCAGGACCGCGAGGCGCTGGCGCAGCTGCGCACCGGGTCGCATTGGGGCGCGGAAGAGACCGGCCGCTGGACGCGGCGCCCCCGAGAGCAGCGAGTCTGCCCCCACTGCCACGACGGCATTGAAGATGCCCCCCACATGCTGCTCACCTGCCCCCTTTACGCCCCGCTGCGCCTCAACTTTCCTGACCTGTTTGCTGAGCCCCATCCTCCCCACCGCTTCCTCCGCCAGAAACCGTGCCGCCTCGCCGCCTTTGCTGCCGCCTGTCACCAGCGCTGGCTGACCGCCACCGTTGCGCTGCCTGCAGTCCCGCCCTGAACCCCCACTCTCATGTCCACCCCCTTTGCTCTTACCGCACCACACCTGCTCCACGACATGCAGTACTGCCTGCCCGCTCACACACTAAACGCTCGGTGACCTGTCAGTTGGCCTGTCCTGCCTGTTGTTCTACTGCTTCATCCCTCCTTGCTCGAACAACAAAGTCTGTGCTGCAAGCTTGTTCTTGCTGAAACCAGACTGTAAGCCCACACAAGCAAGCATGTCTCGCTGGGACACGGCCACCGAGATGTTAGGTGTCTGGTAGAACTTGAGCCGGCACTTGGTCTCGGGCCACTTGACGGCGCAGCCTGCCTCTGGGCGCAAGCCCCAGGGCAGATCCGTGCCATCGTCCCGCACGACATCCCCAAAGCTGGTGAAATAAGATGCCGTATATTCTGGGCCGCTCTCAACTGTGTACTCGCGTGTGACGGCACAGATGCGAGGGTCTGCGTCGCAGGCCGGGCAGTCAGGCAACGCTTGGCACAGATAGGTGCCTCTTGCAGCAATGCTCGACACAGATGTGCACTTCCTTCTGCCCAATGCCATTCTCTATCTCATGGTCTTTCATGGTGTATTACTCACCTGTTCGTGAGATGTAGTAGTTTGGAAAGTTGACGCCTGCGGTCAGGCAGACAGGCCAGGACAAAGAGCTCGCTGGCGGCGCAGCCTCCCGCAGAGAGGTGTCAAGCCAGCGTGTGGCGTGCGCTGCCAGGTGCGTACCACACAGAGGAGCGGGAGCAGACTCTCACCTAGCGTGAAGTTGAGTTCTCGCACCGTCTCGTGCCGCGCATTATAGGACACCCACGTGCACGACTCAATGTCTACGGGCGCGGCAGCAACGGCAGCGGCGTCTTGTCATCCCAGCACCAGCACCAGCGGCGGTGGCGGCGCCGCTTGCCACAAGTGCAGCCAATAGGCTGGCAGCCAGGGGCAATGCACACCTTTGCTTTGATGCCACGTCTGGGCATTTGTTGCTAGGCACGACTTGAGTGTCGTGCGGCTGGCGCATGCATTGCAGCGCCGCTTCAGCTTGTCGCTCAGCAGCTTGTCGCTGCAGTTCTTGGGGATCTGCACCAGGAGGTCGTCGGCGTCGATGTCGCCTCGGGGGACATATGGAGTGTAAATCAATCCAGTCCAGCTGCAGAAAAAAGAATAAACAACAGCAGGCACGGAAGGCGGTGAACAGGAGGCAGGGCAGGCGGTGAGGGCGCAGCCGGTGGTCGTCGGCGCACTGGCTACAGGCTCCCTCAGCAGCTGCTACCCCGCCAGCAGGGTGCGCTGGGCCCGCGCGCTGTGAGTGCAAGTCGCGGCTGTGTGCCGCCCTGGGAGGTGGCGACGGCGTCCCAGAGTCCCGCGCCCCCACTTTCCCCGGCGGAGCTCACATGCAGTGTGGTTTCAGGGGAGGCTTGTTGATGAATGCGCGCCGCGCTGCAGCCGCCGTGGTGCAGGACAGGAGCACGCCCATCAACAACGCGAGTGGCCACATGCCTGCGAGCGCACGCAGATAACACTGCCCAGCTGCTAGACAGCAATTAACACGATACCCAGGAAACTAGAAACAGGGGCGGCCCGCCGCTGTCACATATCAGGACCGCCATTCACATCATCACAACACATTCGGCCCCCGCTGAGAAGCCATGAACACGTCCGCAAGCCCCAGTTATGTCCATAGACAGCTTTTCGCAGTCATCAATGGGCTGGTGGCCAGATGGGGCTGGCGGCCAGATGGGCAGCCTTTGCCGCCCGCAAACAGTCGGCAAGCGCTGGATGGAGAGGTGGGTGGGAAGCTGTGGTCAAAACTGCAAAACTGGGAGTCGAGGGTCATGCTGCCAGCTGAGTTGGGGGGGGCGGGAGCTGGATCGCTTTGGCGTGGACCGCTCCAGCGCCGCCTCACAACCTCAGGTATCGCTGCTTCTCGGTGCTGCTCAGCATGAAGGGCGCCAGCTGCCAGCCCTGCTCCTGCAACTGCAGGCGGGAAGAGCAGGCACCGTGGTTGTGCTCAGCAGTGCGTGCATGCACCAAGACAGCTGCATCATCACGGGGAGGGCTGCCCCACCCCAACAATTAGTGGAGTGAAGGGAGCAAGGGCTCACCTGGGAGATGAACGGCTTCAGGCTGCCGCGGGCTTTGCTGCCGCTGTCGGTGACTGCCTGCTGCACGTCCACTGCGCTGCCCCTGTCGTCAGCCGCGGACGCCACTGGGTGCCTGCTGCCTGCAGGCGGCACGCCCAACAGCTGCCGCAAGTAGGCTGCCTGCAGCACCGCCTGTACTATGTCCGGCTCTGCGGCGTCCTGCCTGCGAGGCGGGGTGGAGCGGGTGGCAGCAAGTGGCGGCATGGTGGGGAGCTGAGGCCATCACCAGCATGTGATGGTGGGGGACGCGGGGCTCACGTGCAGTCCCAAGATGCTGCCAGCACAGGATGAGCGGCCGGAGGAGGAGTGCAGGAGGCCAGCAACAGCTCCAAAGGCTAGGACAAGCGCAGCATCGCCCCCAGCGGCGGCTCACCTCAGGCAGACACGCACGCTGCCGGCGTGCCGCCCCAACTGCCAAGGCAGCGGCAGCGGCGGCGGCAGCAGCCCTCGCCGACCCCTGCCTGCCGGGCCGCTGCCGTCGCTGCTGCTGCTGCTGCTGCTAGGGCTGCTGCTTGAGCCTCCAGGAGAGGTGAAGGTCAGGAAGTAATGGTCGCCCCTGCGGCAGCACAGCAGCAGGCACAGCACCCGCGGTGGATGCATCGCGGCAACAGTCACAGCACCTTGGCAACACGCGCCCAGGGCTGGCCCGCTCCCGGGTAGCCTGCCCAGGCGGGCCGCTGCGCGTGGCCCTGCTGCCGCCGCTGGTGCTGAGGCACAGGCCACCTGCGCGGGCGTGGGCGACACGCACCCCATCCCTGCCGCTCCACCCACCCACCCACCCACCTGTCCTGCTGCTCCAGCAGCTGCAGGTCCTGGCTGCTCTGCACCGCTTGGTCCAGCGAGCTGATGGTGAGCGGCATGCGCCCCACTGCAGCACACGAGCACGGCGCAGGCAGCGCAGGCGCAGCTCAGGCGGGCGGGCAGGCGGGCAGGCCGGCGGGCCAGGGAGCCTCGCTGCCCAACTGCCAGCCCTGTGCAGGGGAGCGATGGTACTCGCGCGGCCGCCCATGAGCGGAAGCCGCACATGGCGCGGCGCCTGCGCCTCACCCTCGATGTGAGGCGGCAGCACAAAGCGCTCCTCCTCGCTGACCTGCAGGCGCAGGCGGGTAGGCGGGCGGGGTGCCACACGGGACAGGATGAGCGCCCAAGCCGACCAGAGCCGCCAGAAGGGGCAGCAGGCGAGCAGGCAGATGGCACGGCGGGGTGGCAGCCGGCGGCCTGGCACACGCGAATGCCAGCAGCTGCCCGGGCAGCAGCTGCGCAGGCAGCAGCTGCGCGCACCTGGCGCGGCGAGGGCACGCGCCCCTCTCGCAGCCAGTGCTGCGCAATGATCTCAGCCCGCTCCTTGTTCAGGGTGCGCAGGTGGATGGAGCGCAGCTCGCTGCAGGGGCACGGCGAGAGGCAGGGCGGGCGGCGGTTGGCTCCACGACGCGCAGCGGGCCGCATCCTGCTCTCCCTCTCCGGGCGCTGCCCGGCCCTGCCGCCCTTCCCACTTCCCATCCGCTGCGGACCGCTCCTCCAGCCAGCTCCCCTGCCCCGGGGCCGCCCAGCCGCCATCCACACCCCCACCTATAGATGGCCCACAGGTCGCCCGCCGCCAGCAGCGGGAACATGACCAGAGGAAGAGCGCGCCGCGCCGCCTCTGCAGGTAGGCGCCCACGGCAGGGCCCGCGCCTCAGCAGCCAGCCCAGCGGAGGCGCGGCGAGCAGCAAGCGCAGGGTGCCAGGGCGGCGCGTGGCGCTGGCCACCCCCCACCTGTGTGCCTGCAGAGGTAAGTGAGGCCCACCGCGGCCGCCAGCCCTATGTTGTCCATCACCATTTGCTGCGCCTGCGGCAAGACGGCGGCGGGGCGGCAGCGGCGGCGGCGGCGGCAACAGCGGCGAAGATGGGCTCAGCACCTGCAGCCGTGCGCTCCGTGTCCACCGGCCAGCCGACCAGCAGGGGCGGGCCGGGGGGCAATGGTGCGCCGCCCTGCCCTGCCTCGCCGCTCCCCAGGCTCCCCGCCAGCCGCCTCAACCGCCCCGCCCCACCCCAACACCTCGCCAAGCCCACCTGTGTCTTTGCCGAGATGTCAGCCAGGTTCTCCCGCAGGCAGAAGCTGCGGTGGAAGGCGGGCTGCGTGGCGATGAAGGTGGTGAGGCCTGCGGCCAGCCGGGGGCAGTGGAGGCGAAGGAGCGTGAGCAGGTGGCAGCCAGCAGTGCAGGCACGCACACGCGACAAACAGCGGCGCCAGGTGCGACCCTATCCCAGCCAATTTCCACCCACCGATGCTCTTCCCCACGTTTGCCAGGCTGGCCATGACCAGGAAGTGCTGTGGCGCCAGCGGCGTCAGGAACTCCAAGCTGCGGGCGGGGCCCAGGGGCCAGCGGGCGCACACACGACGCCTGTTGGCATGGCGCAGGCGGCAGGCGGCATGCATGGCACGAGCGCTCGGCGGCGGCACGTCCCGTCCCCGCCACGGCAGCAGGCGCGGAGCGGCAGCAGGTGCGGAGCAGGCTGTCCCAGCCGCCCTCCCTTCCCATCCCGCCGCACCTGAGGCTGACCGCATAGATGATGCTGGTGGCGTAGCGGAAGCGCTGCGGTACAGGAGAAGGACCGGTTGGCACCATCCCATGCCACGCCATGCATGCGCACCCGCACCACATCCACCCCCCACCCCACACGTGCCCAGGGCTGGGCCCCCACCTTGAGGTCTGAGTCAAACGACTCCCCGAAGCGCGTGGCCACCGTGAGGCGCCCCAGCCGCCCCAGCCCATCCTTGAGCACCCAGTTGATGGTGGCGGCGGCCGGCAGCGAGCGCCGGGCGCCCACGCCCACCGCTTGCAGCAGCGACTGCGCCGCGGAATGGGTGGGAGGGATGGCGGGCGGTGCTGACGTTGATTCTGAGGGGGACATGCCACGCTGTGGTGGCGTGCAACACGCACCTGGCTGCTCATGGGCCACATGTGCACCGGCCCAGGCGCCA